AGATTGCCCACCCTCTCTGTCGTGTGCCACGTGGGGTTGGTGAACAGTGGTGGGACTGGGTGGTTGCAGCCAAGCACAGACATCCCTAGAAGCAGCAGCTTCTGGGGTCAGAAGACCAAGATGGAGGCCTGGTCCAGCTCTTTCTTACTAGCCGAGTGAGTGTGGGGATAAGCCATCCTGGGCTTCAGCTTCTGCAGCCGTAAGACAGGGTTCATTCCTGCTGCATCGGGTCGCCGAGAGGATTACCATGGATGGCATGTAAAGCATCTACAGGATGCAGACACTTTGAACTTCCCAGTTGTCCTGTTTGAGCAGGTCATTATCGCTCTAACTTCAGTTTCCTCATTTGATAAATAGGGATAAGAATACATACTTTGTGATAAGTACATGAGGTGAAATGTAGGCAAGAACTTGGAAGTGATAAATCTCAACACAAATGTTAGTGTTCCTGGGCACGTGCAGATGGCTGCCTGAGGTATGTGTGGGTGCCACTGACAACCACCTGAGGGTCACAGGTGGCCGGCGCGCAGCAGATTCAGATTGTGCTGGCAGAGAAGGGTGTGTGGAGTGTTGGGGAGTGTAGAGGCCACAGAGGTGAAAGAACTGGTTGTGCCATAGAGTCTTCTCTTATGCTGGGATTTGATTTCAAAATCGGAGCATGAAGTCAAAATCCTATATAGTTTAAAATTGAAAGTCCCCAGACTTGCTCACAGAGTGTCTTTCTGTAAGTCCAGTAGAATCAGCTCCTCCTCCGGCCTAGGAGCAGATTGCCTTTTCTTGGGTTGGGTACCAGCTGAAATATTGGAACTTGGGTGTCAGGGCCGTACTAAATTAAACCTCAGTATTGCACAGTGAGGGGCACGTGGAGGAAATGGCCGATTCTCAGTTCCCATCATTTGTAACTCTCCTCTCAGGCTCACTCTGAATCTTATGCTCCTTTCAGCTTTCCGTCCTTTGACAAATATTTATTGATCACTTCCTGTGTGTCAGATGCTGTGCTAGACACTGGGGAACAGCACTGAACAAAAACACACCTTTCTATATTACAGGGAGGCAAATAATGAACAAGCAAAAAAAGTTTCTTAGTTTGCGAGATCGGAGTGCTATGGGAGACCAATAAAGCAAAATGTGTGGTTTAGGGAGTTCTGCAGTAGCCAATTATAGTTTAAATGGAGTGGCTTGGGAAGCTCTGATTTTCCCAAGCCCTGCAGGAGAGTAACTGAATGCTATGGAACGGCCAGTGCAAAGGCTCGGAGGCCTGCATGTCTGTGTACAGTGAGGAACACAGCGTGGCTAGAGTGGAGGGGAGCAGGAGAGCTGTGGGGGTGAGAGCGGATGTTGTAGAGCCTCGTCGGCCATTGTAGGCCATTGGGCTGACCTTGGCCTTTCGTCTGGGCAAGAGAAGAGGCTATTGGAGAGTTGAGCAGAGGAGGGACAAGGTGCTCATGAACATCATTCTGGTTTCTGTGTTGAGAAAAGCCCAAAGAAGGACAAGGGAACTAGTTAGGGGAGTGTTGCAATGGTCTTGAGAGATAATGGTGGCTTGAACCAAGGTGATAAGAATGAATTAACTGGATAATTTGAAATTACTGTCAGGTGTGGGGTTGAACAAAGAGGTAAGTTCAAGGGAACCTCCAAGGGTTTCTTCTGCAGTCTCAGATGGATTTGCCATTAGCTGAGGTGGAGGAGCGGGGAGGGGGACAGGTTTGGACAGGTTAAGTCTGAAATTCTACCAGACACCCAGAGGGAGATGTGGAGTGGGTAGTTGGGGTGTATATGAATTCGGAGCTCAAGACAAGTTCAGCCTGGAACTCCGTGTTTGGGAGTTGTTGGTTTATAGTTATTATTTACAACCATGCAGCAAGGCTGAGATCTCCCAGGGCGTGAGTGTAGGTAGCTCGTCTCACCACTGTTAAGAGTTGGGAGATGAGGGGGCACCTGGGGGGCTCAGTCGGTTAAGGGTCCAACTTCGGCTCAGGTCATGATTTCACGGTTCATAGGTTCAAGCCCCGCATCAGGCTCTGTGCTGACAGCTAGCTCAGGACCTGGAGCCTGTCTTTGGATTCTGTGTCTCCCTCTCTCTCTGACCCTCCCCTGCTCACGCGCGCTCTTTCTCTCTCAAAAATAAAACATTAAAAAAAAAAAAAAAGAGTCGGGAGATGAGAAGGAAACAGCTGCAAACTGGGAAGGGGTGGCTGGAGAGGTGGGAAGAGAATTGGGAGTGTGGCATCCTGGATGCAGATGTTGAAGGCAGAGAGGCAGAGAGAGAGATGCTCGCACTGTTTGAATAGTCCTTCCTCTCTCTGAGCACCAGCAGCTTCATTTGAAAACGTGCAGTACACATGGTGTGGTTCCACCTTGTCACATTTGAGAACGCGCCGTTCCAGTGACATGTGGAGGTCTAGGGATAGCAGGTGGGATGAGAGAGAGAGGCACAGCTTACAGTGCCTGCACTCTCCTTGAAATACAGCTTGCAGGGCTTCTTAGACACTTGACATGCTGTGGCCTGGCCAGAGAGACTCGGGCGTGCCTCCAGGCACTGGAAGCCAGGTTTCCTGTCTGTAATATGGAGATCTGACAACCTCCACCCTAGAGCATTTATGCAGATTCAAAGAACCTGCACCTGAAGTGCTCAGCCAGGCCCAGGAACTTAGCAAGTTCTCTGTGAACCTTAGTGATTCTGTGACGACTCACCAGGCCCCGCGGTGGGTTCAGAATGCTGCAGTGCAGGCTCCCCACTGTGGCAGCCTCACGGGGACACTCTGAGCAGATCCACTCACCCGCTTCTTACCCCCAAGTGAGTCACGCCACTCTTGTCATTCCAAGAAATCTTAATTTCTTTATTGTTTGATTTTTTTTTCGACTCAACAATTTTTTTTAAACTTTTTGTTTTTTTCTGAAACGTTCGTTATGAGCCTTTTGTTTTGTTCTCGTTAAATGCACTCGACCCAAAATTGGTTTGGCATATCGAAAAGGAGACCAAGGAGGGACTGGGGGGCATGGGAGGGAGGGGAGGAGGCCCGAATGGACACAAGAGAAATTGGTGAAAGAAGAGGTACACAGAGACAGTGAAAAAGACACAGGGAAAGAGGTGGAGACAGAAAGGAAGGCAAGGGAAACAAAACAAAAAAAATACTAAGATTTAAAAGCAAATGAATTCAGGAGCCCAAGGAAGAGAGTAGGAGAGGAAGCCAAGACCCTTCCTTCTCTATACCGTCCCAGCTGGGGTGGGGTGTCAAGGCACCAGGTCTGGTTGGGGTGAGGGGACACCTGGGCTCTCCGGGTGGCTTTGCACTTGACTGCAGTGGTGTCCAAACCCCACCAGGGGGCCCTGCCATGCAGCTCTGAGGCCTGGGAATCCACCTTGGTGATTCCGGCTGGAATGGGAATCTGGGGTCCCACCACCCCCTCTCTCCCCTTGATTGTCAGTATCTGGAGAGAGAAAAGGAGGGCTGGTCAGGGGAGAGAAGGCTGATTCCTTGCACACCTCCAGCACCCACCCCCTACGGGACTCTCCCACCAAGCCTGCTCGCCAGCCCGCTCACTGGCGCTCACTGGCGGCAGAGGCAGCCTCCGGCTGTAGGTGGACTGATGCCTGGCCAACCCCTCCACTGCGCCTCCTCTCTTGCCAGCTCTTCCCAGACCTCTAGCTGCCCCCTGCAGCAGTGGAGTCGCTGGCCCAGTGACCCCAAGGAAGGCCATGGCACTGTCTGGGCAAGACTGTCCCTAGCCTTCTCTTCCCCATCCAGACTTACACACGTTCTTCTGCTGAAAGAGGTTAATTAAGCCTTCCCCCCCGAAAAAAAGCCAGATATGGAACCCAAACCTGCCTTCTCCCCACACCTGTTTCCTTCCATGGGACAAACCACCATCTTTGGTCTGACCCCTTCTCCCCTAATTGATGGGGACAAGCCAGCCCCAGCTCCCCAGGAGAAGGGAGGGACTTTCTAGCAGCAAAAAGGGTTCCTCCGGCCACCTACCTGTCCCTTTCCCCCAGTTTCTCCCTAGAGCCTCCCCTCCCTTAACCCAAAGAAGTTTATGGCAGCAGCAGGCTGAGACCCGAAGATGTTTGAAAACTCATGGCACTTGTGAGAAAAGAGGGAAGGGCAAAAGAGACAAGAAGGGGGTCAGAATAGAGGTGGAGGGCCACCCCTGGGAGAATGGCAATGACAGGGCTGGGCTAGCGTGGCAGTGGGACTACCTTACCCTCAGAGAGTTGGGGTGAGGGGGAGGCTGCAGAGGAGGGTGCGAGAAGAAGTACTCAGGAGCCATCCCCAGTCTGAAGCTTCCAGAGTCTACAGGTCTGGGGTAGAGCCCCCAGTACAAAGGTGTCCTGACTGCAGGCCCCAGTGCCTGGCTTTGCCTCCCCCTCAGGAGGGTGTAGGGTAGGGAAGGTGGGAAGGGGATCTCTCACCCTTGCATGCCCCCCCCCCCCACGAGAGAAGACAGCTTCACCACTCCTAGCCTCCTGGCCACACCCACCACTGCTGCCTTCACTTTTCTTCCCCCATCAACCTCTCTAGGTGGGAAATCCGTCCCTTCTCCCTCGGCCCAGAGTCCCAAAAGCAATATACAAGAAGCAGGAACTCAAAGGGACAGCGCAGCCATCTTGGCAAAAGCATCTTTGGGTGTGAGGGTGCCTCCCCCGGGCCAGTGGGGAGGGGAGGGGGAGACAGGCCCCGGTCCTGGGGCAGGCAGTGAGGTACACGCCCCAGGAGGGCTGACTGATGCCAGGGACAGGCGGAGCAGGGAAAGAGGCGACAGAAACGGTGCCGGGAAGGAAACAGGTTCTTTGTTTCGCTGTTGCTTCTAGATTTTGTTTTCTGTCTCTGGATTGTAAAAAGCTGCTCTGGCGGCCCGCCCACCCCGGCTGGGGATGCACACATACACGGAGAAGTCCTGGCTGCCAGGGCCCGGTGGCGCCACTCTGCTCCGGAGAAAGCCCCGGGCTGGCTGGGCCACGGGCTCCCGGTGGCTTCAAGTGATGAGATTTTCTTTCCTTTTTTTTTTTTTTTGTCTTTTTTTTTTTCTTTTCCATTTCGTTGAAATATTTACAGCAATAGGGGAGGAGGAGGAGGAGAAAGGAAGTGGTAAGATGGCCCCCTAGGGAAAGATCCAAGCCCAGGACCCACTCCCCAGGGAGATCCAGACCCAAAATCTGCTCCCCAGACAGCCGAGCCCACAGGACTAGGAATTGCCCAAATATGGCCACGCCCGTGGGCTGGGGGCCTGCGGGGAGTTGTGCTTCATCAGGAGCCACCCCAAGGGAGGGGGTCACTGGGTGCACTTGAGGAGGCTGACGGGCAGGCTTGCTGGGGAGGCAAGGACGAAGAGCAGAGGGAAGGAGCTTCAGAGAAAGTTCCACCTTTAAACCAGCAGCCACAATCGCCCATTTCTCTTGCCCTGGGGCCTTCTCTTGGGCCAGAGGCCCCAGTCTCCAAGGAGCAGGGAACTGTAGTACAGGAGGAACCTGTCTGTCTGTCTGTCTGCTCCCACTGCTCCTTCCTGGTGCAGCTGGCAGCATTTCTGGCTGCAGAGAGTGGAGCAGCTGACAGGTTCCACGCAGCAGGGCCCTTGGCCCAAGGAAACCAAAGCCCTCATTTCCCTCCAGGGGGTAGGAAGGTAGGGGAGAGGGGGAAGTAGAGAGTGGGCTGTACCCATCCAATTTCTCCTTCCTTCTTCCCTTGGGGACCTCTTGGCTCCTCCTCACCGCATTTCCCCCAACTCCGGCTGGTGCACGTGGCTGGTAGGAAGCCCCGTCCGTGAACCCTGCACCACAGGCCCCCACGGCAGAGCTCCTGAGGGGCCTAGAGGGCCCGCGGCCGACAGGTACCTGGAGAGAGTGGCCCACCAGCCACTGCCTCCGTGAGTCTCCCTCTCCCACCAGAGCCCCACCCAGGGTACCCTCCCTGGCCTGGGCCACCAGCCCCTGGTCCATGAGGTCCCTCAGAGACTGGTGACCAGCTGCATTTGCCCATCCCCATCGGGCCCTGGCCCCTCGAGGCCTGGGGCCGCCAGGTAGCCCTCGTGGCTGGGCCGCCGCACCTGGTAGTAGCCCTGCAGGGGGTTCCGGGCCACTAGGGCCGGTGGGCGCGAGGTGTAGTAGATTTCAGGGGGACCGGGGGGTGCAGGCGGGGGTGGGGGCAGGGCCTCACTGGGCCCCTCGGGGCTGCTGTCCGGGTAGGAGGGCGAGTCCCGCAGGTTGGCCCCGCTGGCATAGAGGGAGTCCCGGCCCGGAGGGGAGGAGAGGGGCCGGCTGGTGGCCCCGTCCTCCGCAGTGCAGCTCTCCGACTCCTCCAGATCACTCTGGTACAGCACCGACTGGGCCCGGGGCAGCAGCAGCGGCTCCTCCAGGGCCTTGTAGAGAAGTTCGATCTCTGCCCGGTCAGCACCCCCGGGCCCGCCTGCTTCTTCCTCGCCACCGCCCCCTGGCACAGGCGGCACGGGGGGTTCGGGCGGTGGGGGGCCCTTGGCGCCACTGCCGCCGCCCCGCAGGTTGTTGTGCACCAGCTCTGAGATGATCATTTTCTCGAAGGCGGCAGCATCGGCCAGGTTCCGGCCGCGGGGTGGCTCGGAGGCCCCATCCCCGGGAGGGAAATCCCCACTTCGCAAGGAGTAACTGTTGTTGAAGTTGCCATTGAGGGGCAGTGTGTCCATGCCGCAGGCTTCCCGGCCTCCCAGAGGGTGCTCTGCAGGCAAGGGGGGGCTGGCTCAGGAGGAGGATGGGCAGTGACCGGGGCATGGGCACATGGAAACGGTTGTGCCTGCTTCTGCCTGGGCTGAGATCTCCCATTCCCATTCTTCCTCACCGGCAGTGGGGACACCAGGCCAGCGGCAGGTTTGGGGAAGGGGGTGGGGACCAGTTTCCTCAGGGTCCCCTCCCAGTTAGAGGCTATGCAAAGAGTCCTATGTGACAGGTTCCATTTCCTGTGCTCTTACCCTCATCGCCTTCACTGCCTACCTGAGAGCCAAACATAACCCCCTCCGGCTGTATGTGGGGGGGGGTTTGGGGGCCACCCTGAGTTCCCCTTCCTGAGTGAGGTCATCCCAGAAGGCCACTATCCCATTTTCCTCCCGGCCTCAGAAATGTTAGCAGGGAAGTCACACTTACTGGGTTCCCGGTAGCTCCCTGCAGGTGGCAGCCAGGAGAGAAGAGAGAGAGAGTGAGTGTGTGCTTGCATAGTCGAGCCCAGGGTCCAGCTCAGGAAGCACGAGGATGACCCTTGGGATGCAGACCCCACCCTCCCCGACCTGGGCTGCTGACAACTTCCTGTACCAGAGTGCTCTCACCTGGGGAGTTGAAGACGGGGGGCGAGGAGGGATTGAAGCCCACTGACTCGGCAATGAGGGTATTGTAGGGGCTGGTGCCCCCACGGGGCTGTAGCACGGGGTTGGTCAGCAGGTGGTTCCCCATGGTACCTGTCCAGGACGCCAGAGGTCACAAGGTGGCCCAGAGACACTGGTCCAGGAATCTTGAGGGATAAAGTGAAGGGCGAGGGATACTGTCTCACCTCTGTTCAGGGTGGGGGTGCTGTTGATGTCGCCTGCCATGAAGGAGGACTCCGTCTGTTTCCTCACGGTGTCGTTCCACATCCTCCGGATTCGGCTCTGGGGACACAGCCCGGACGTGAGGGGGCCCCCAGGCCGCCCACCCTCCAGGATCTTTCTGAGATCACTCGCCTGATGAGCACCACCAGGGACCTAGGCTGAGTGCTGCCCTGCCTCTCAGGCTTGTGGGTGCAGCACTCAGCCCCAGGGAGCCCTGCCCGGTGCCCCGGCCCCGGCCCGGATACCTGGGTCCCCGTGTAGTAGCGGGTGTTGCTCCGCATGGCTGAGGTCTTGAGTGAGCCGTGAGCGCCCCCGGGTGGGGAGCGGATGCAGCAGTAGGAGTGGCGCAGGCACTTGCTGTACTCCTTGTGCACCTGGGCGGGAGGAGCAGCGGCAGCTGGCACCGGGAGCCCCCGCAAGCCTCGCGGCCCTGTCTCCTGTCCCACCGCAGCCAGCCAGCCTCTCTGTTGCCCTGGCCCATCCTCCTTTCTCCACGTCCACGGATGATTTCTACTCCGTTCACTCAACACATCTTTAATGAGCATGTGCTCTGTGCCAGGTGTAGTTTAGGCTGCAAGGATGGTACAGGACAAATCCCACCCACAGCCCCACCCGAGAGCCAGCACTATGGTAGGCGGAGACAGGCGGAGACGCGAACCCCAGCACGTTCTGTGGGACGTTAGACAGTGTGAGGTGCTGTATAGACAACGACGGCAGGGAAAGGGGTCAGGCGGTGCTGCGGGCTTGGGGGTGTGTAGTGGGGGTCTGTGGCTTCAAATAGACCAGGGGAAGCCTCACTGAGGAGAACTCTCAGCCAAGATCTGAAAGAAATAAGGCAGCAGACCTTGTGGGTAGGTGGGGAGGAGCTGGGACCGGCCCCGAGGGGGGTCCATGCCTGGGTGTTGGAGAGCAAGCAGAGGAAAGCATGGCTGGAGAGAAGAGAGGGAGGCCAGGTAGGAATGTGTGAGCCTGTGGCTCCTGTAAGGGAGTCTCCGTCCCTTTGTGTGAAGTGAGGGCTGTGCCAGGATGTTGGCTTTGACTGTGTGTCATGGGGGATTCAAGGGGGTCGCACTGTCCCCGTGTATCCGATGCAGGCTACAGGACTCCTGTGATCACTGCTTCTTCCATCCCCTGCTTCAGCCTTACTCGCTTCACTGTCCCGACGGGGGCTCCCGGCTCCCTTGAAGACGAAGTCTTCAGACACTTTGGTTTAGGTTCCCCACTCTCGGCTAGAACTTCCTGCCTGTACACCCTCTCCCCACTCCTCTGCTTCTGTGATCTCCTTCAGACACATATCTGCTCGTGATTCAGATTTTTCATGTTTGAGAAGGAAACTATTACCACAAAACTCACAGTTCGTTTCCTAACTGTTGAAGCAGAAATGCTCTGTCTGGGTGGTACTCCGTCCTCTCCCTCCTCCACACCTGATTTGTGGCCCCCAGGGAGGGGTTGGGGGAGGTTGATCCTCTGTCACAGTCCTGCCCTGTGCTCTCCCAGCTCCCCAGATCCATGCTCCTTTCTTGCTCCCCTGTGTTGCCATATCTTGCTCTTTCCCAGAACCATCTTCCCCCTGCCTAAATCCTTCCTGACCCCAAGCCTGTGGTCCCCTCATAGCAGACCCAGTGCCACCGCAGAAGGCAGGCACTTACAGCCCTTCCCTGACCTCACCTTCTTTTGTAAGGCGCAGTGAAACACAAAGATGAAGACCCCCTGGAAGGCGTTGAAGGTGGTGAAGAGATAGGCCATGACCACTGACTCCTTATTGATGAAGAGCAGGCCGAAAGCCCAGGTGAGGCCCAGTAGGAAGAGCAGCGCGATGGCCCCCAGGGCCCAGGATCTGGGGAGGGGCAGAGGGGACAGGGATGTCACAGTCCCTGACGGTGGAGAAGCCTCCCCCGTACCCGTGCTTTAGGTGAGCCTCGATACTGTGTGCAGAGACCCGCTTAGGATGCGTGGGCCTCGAGGGCATGGCCTGCACAGTGGTACTTTCAACCAGCCTGGGTTTGGGGTTTTGCTAAGATCAGTCGTTAGCCTTCACCCTTTGGTCCATGTTTCCAGACCCTTAAACTATCTTTTGCTGCCTATTTCTCTGTACATTTCCTTGAAGTACACCTAGTACCTTTTGAACTTAGTCTTACCCTAGGCAGTTACGTCCCCAAAAGCACAGGTAAGATGTGTTAAATCTCATGTTTTCTAATACTCATTAAGTAGATATAAAATAAGCACAATAAAACACCACGTGTGTCCTTAAAATCACATCGTGTGGTATGGAAAGCGACAGCACTGCATTTAGGAAGCCCTAGGAGATGCAGGCCCAGCGTGGAGACAGCAGGCAGGGGTGTGCGGACCGGAGGGCTGCTCACTTAATGTTGTCGAGGCGACTGGAGTCGGGCTTGAGCACAGACGAGCTCCGGATCATCTTGTGCAGGGTCACCATGAGGAACACCAGGTTCACCTGGGGTGGGACAAGGGGAGGGGTGGGGCTGGGCCACGCATGGCACTGGCGAGGCTAGGGGCCCCTCCCCTCTCCAGCATGAGCTCCTGACCAAGTCTTAGTCTCAACCCTCCTCCTTCAGGGCCGCCTCCACTAATGCACCTGCGCTCAGGCGTCTGTTGACTGGCAACAACTGATAATGGGGCTCTGCTGCTGCCGGGAGGACAGGGCCCATGGCCTGACACAAGGCAGGGGCTCACATCACAGTTCCCGGGGGGACGGCCGCTGGTGCTGGAGCTCTACAGAGCCACCATGCTCTTGTCCTCTTGGCTGGCTGCTCAGTTTCAATGGCTGTCAAACCAGCCCTCTCAAGCTTGGTGGGGGGTGGGGGTGGGGCTCAGCGGTCAAGGCTAGCTTGCAGGATGGATGGACGTGGTACTGGCAGGTACCACCTTCCTCCTACTTACCACGATAACAAAGGAGACTGGCCCAATGAAGCTCCAGATGAAGTAGTTGTCCACTCGGAGCCAGCAGCTATAAAGGAAGCAGGGCTGGGGTAGACAGAGGTGGGAAGGCCGTCCCCCCACCCCAATCCTAGCCCCCAGGGACTCTGCTGGCCGAGGTCTCAGATCTCAGGCAGAGGGAGGCCAGGGCCATGAGGGGCCTGGCCAGAGGGACACTGCTGAGCAGAGAGCCAGGCAGGAGGGAAGCCTTCGTGGGGGGCATTGAGAGGGGACACTCACGCCTTCTCGGTGCCGTAGCTGCGGTAGTCGATAGCAGCCGCGATGCCCACCACCAGCGCCGGGAAGCAGTAGCCGCCCAGGTAGTAGTACTTGGTGCGGGAGTACTCGCTCTCAAACACTTCCACCAGCAGCAGATAGAGGTGCACACCCTCCAGGCACAGCCAGGAGAAGGCGGCCAGGAAGAAGTAGTGCAGCAAGCCAGCGAAGATGGGGCAGGCGATCTGGGGGCCGCGGGGAGGGGGACTGCAGGTGAGGAGCTACCGGGACAGCGCCGCCTCTCCTTCCCCCTGCCCCTGAGCCCCAGCCCACCTCATACTGAGTCTTGTCTATCCCAACCAGGAAGAGCAGCTCGGCCAGGAAGAGGTTGATGCACAGGTTCTTGTGGATGGTGTTGCGGTCGGTCTGCAGCCCCCGCAAGAAGCAGAAAGTAGAGATGCAGATGGCCAGGCAGACGAGGGAGATCACGATGCCCACCCAGGTGATGACCGACAGCAGCAGCTCGTTGATGCGGCCCTGGTACTGGGGGAGACAGGGCACTCAGCACCTGTGGCCTCGTATGTGGCCAAGCTCGCTCTAGGCTCAGCCAGGTACTAGTGGCAAGCAAGGCCCCAGGTCACGGGCGCCACCAGTGCTGCCCATCCGGCCTTCTGCCCCCCTTGGCCACCTCCCTGGCCCCCGCCCTTCTCCAGGTGGCATGCTCCCTTCTTCGTGCCCTGGAAGGCTTGTGGAGAGATAACAAAGGGGACCCCAACTTGCTTCTTCAGAGGGCCTGGGGAGAAGGTGGGACCATGGCCAGAAAGAACCAGACATGTGGCCTCATGCCCCAGGCAAGACTCGTGGGCCCCCTTCTTGCCCTCAGGCCCACAAAGCTGGTGTCCCTGCACTGCCCGTGCAGCGTGCTACGATGCCAGGCAGAGCTGGGCCAGCAGCGGGCCTGCCCGGAGGGGCGCAGCGCCGGCCAGCTTACGATCTCGTGGTGAGCCATCAGCACGGCAAAGTTGGTGAGGTGGCTGCAGGCACACGTGGTATGGGTCTTGTTGGACTCCACCAGGCGGCAGCCCTGGGTTGACCAGTAGCCCAGCATGGAACGCTCCGAATAGTTCCAGAAGGAGCAGTTAGCATTGAAGTGGTTCTTGGCCTGTTGTGTGGTGGTGGCCGGGCAGTCAGGTCCAGGGAATCCCATTCCAGCCCCCACCCAGCTACCAGGATAGTGACAAGCATGAGAAAAGTACCCGGGGGCTCCAGGTGTGGGGTCTCTGGGGACAAATGGCCCATGCTGTTGAGGTGGAGGTTGGGGGACTGGTGTCCCAGTAAGGGACCGTAACTTGTTCTTGAGGTGGGTAAACATGCACCCTGGGAACACAGAAGGTGGGAGGGCCCCCACAGAGGGAGGGGACGCCTCAGCTCACCTCCAGGTGGGCCACGGTGAAGATGACCGGGTCCATGAGAAAGACGCGGCTGGACTCCTTGTTGATTGATGCCGCGATGACCTGTGAATTCACCACGAGGGAGGCGCCGCCCGGGCCGCCCGAACCTGCTTCACCCGCCAGCTTGACCGTGGCGTTCTCGGTGGACAGGAAGAGGCCCAGGTTGTTGTAGAGGATGAAGACGACTTTGACCACACCTGGGGAGGACAGGCATGGCAGGGTGAGCCATCAGTCCTCGGCCAGGCGGTGGCCCAGGTGAGGGGGGCCTGGGGAGCCCTTCTGTGCACCGTCACTCAGCTGTAAACACTCCAACCGAGGGCCTCCCCGCCACCTCCTGGTCTCTATGGGACAGACCTCCCTGAGCTGTGAGAGTAGCCTGCTCTTACTGTGGAGGGCACCCCGCAAAGTTCCTACGCTGTGCAGCTTTGGGGGACCCCATGAATCCCCTGAAATGTCATGCTAGCTTGAGTGTAGAACAATCTTGTGTGTTGTTGTGGGTCCCACCCTTTTCTCAGATTCTTCAAAACCAATAAAACTTCCGAACTGATGCTGCTGGTGAGCGAGGCAGGGACGGCAGCCCAGGGCTCTGGCACTGACCATTGCGGCTGTTCTGCTTGATGGTATTGGCGGACAGCTGGATGGAGTTCTCGCTTGGGTACTCCTGGGGGAACACCAGCTCCTGCACTTGGCCCTCAGTGTTGAGGACTGTCACCTCCAGGACTGTGGGCACAGGAGATGGAACACAGATGGTGTTGCAGTCTATCCCCAGGCCAAAGGCCCAAGGCCAGGGCATCCCCCATGGTCTCCGGGCTGGCAGGTCTCACAGTTCAAGATCTGCACCCGAACTTGCCCTGGGCATGACCGCAGCACTCACCCACATTCTGCTTGGCAGCCAGGAAGCGGGCGGGCTCCCTGACGTTGTCGGCCAGCAGGAAGGCACCCTCCTCCAGGACGTCCAGGAGCATGGTGGCCGTGTGCACCTGCTCCGTAGCATTCATGTCCTTCCAGGATTCCAGGGCCTCTGGCCTCAGCAGGTTGTCCACGGTCTCCACCACGGCCTACACGGGCGAGGGGGCGGCACTGTGACTGCCCCCACGGCCTCCAGCTCCTTGGGCTGCGCTCTGCATCCCCTTCTCTCAGCCTCATCCCTGCCGCTGCCTGGGGCATGCCCAGAAGCCACGAGGGCTGCCTCACCAGCTCTCCCGTCCCCGCTGCTCCCCTCTGGGCCTCACCTTGATGTAGTCTTTGCAGGTTCTCTCCCGCTTGTGCATCTGGGAAGAGAGGGAGGTGCCATCATTGCCCTCACCCCCACGCTCGCACTTCTGGGCCCCGGAGAGGTTGCTTTTCTGCAGCTGCTACCACCCCAGGACTGGGCCATGAGCAAGACCTATTGCTAAGAGACCCCCCCCCCCCCCGCAACCCCCAGGGCCATCCAGGGCAACTCGGGAGGAAGACCCAATATGCCTAGGATGGGTCCTCTCTAACCACCATGGGTGACAGTCCAGCTTGGAGGTCCCAAGCTGCCTCTTGAACCCCTAGGGCACCCCCCCCTTGCTGGCCCTACTGCCACCCCCCACCTTGTTGTAGTTCTTGCCAGCTGACTCGCGTTCGATGGGCCGCAAGGCCTGCAGCTGGGCATCCAGGATATCCAGCAGCTGCTCCATCAGCTTCACGGAGGAGGACACGTCACCCGCGTAGATGGAGCCTCGGGTGTGACGGGCCAGCTCGCTGGCGATATTGGCTGCATTCTCCCCGCTCTTGATCTGTGTGCGGTGGGAATAGGGGCCCCCGGCTACCTCAGAGGCCATCTTGCTTCCCACACGTTCCCTTTTAACACACCCAGCCTGCTTGGCCCCTCTCCTCCCTTCTCTGTGGCCCCTTCTCCCTCCCCGTCCATCTCTGTTCCCTCTGCAGGCCAGGGAGGGCCCCCCCCCAACAGTCCTGGCTCCCAGACCTGCCAGCCTCTTTGTCTCTCCAATTGCTCTATTGCCCCCAGTGTGCCTTGTGCCTGGCCACCCAGGGCCCAGTGTGCAAGCAAATGTGCCAGTCTGGGAGGGGCAGCTGCTGGTACCTTCTGGGCCACCTGGTTGACCCAGGGGGAGGTGCAGTTGCTGAGGTCAGGGCCCCGGGGGTTCCAGAGCCCCAGGGCTGGTAGACACTGGAAGGAGGCAATTCCTGCAGGGACAGACAGGAACAGAGAAGGGAGCCACAGGGAAGGCAAGGAGGAGGGGCCACAACAGGGAAAAGATAACAGAGAGGAGGACAAGTAGGTGAAGGAAACACAGAAGACCAGACACGAAGAGGGTGCGACAGTCAAGAGACATCACTCTGAGGTGACAGAAGCCACCCCTCATGGCTCCTCTTCCTTCCATCTTTGCTTACTGGAAATGGAACTTTCTAGCAAAGCCCATCTTGGACACCCTCCCTTTCCCTGAAGCCTCTTCAGACCCTCAGAGCACGTGGTCCTGCCACCGCCCCCCACCCCCCCGCCCCCAGCTGCTCTCTGTACTGCTGCTACTGGCTGCTCCGGGGCCCAGGCCCCCTCCTGTGGGCTCCCTTCATGCTCTGCCCAGCACTGCCAGAGGGGACCGGGTAGGGGGGCTCCCTGAGCTGCTCCTGTGTCCTGAGAGCACAGCTGCAGAGGTCAGGTATGACCCCCACCCTCAAAAAGGGCACGCTTGGGCATGGGATATTAACAAGGGACTTAGCGCCTGGGCAGAATATCTGGGCAGATATTCCTGATCCCTTCCCCAGCCAGACCAGGCTTGGCCACTCCCCAAGCCAGTCCAGTGAAGTGACTGCAGCCTCTGTACTCACCTCGGGTCCCCTTGGGGCAGGGCCTCTCAACCAGCATGCCCTGCTGGGTGGCTGGCCACTGGACCCGCCGCACCTCTCTGGGTTCACAGAAGAGCTCTGGAGACACGTGCAGGTTGGGGGCTGGGGGTCGCCGGGTGCTGGGGGCCGGGGCTGTGACTGGAGGCAGGTCAGGTCCCAGCTGGTTGATGGCACCCACAGGGTGTGTGGTGAGGGGCACTCGGCGGAGTGGGGTGGTGGCTGCAGGTGAGGCTGTGCTGGTGAGGGGTGTGGGTCGGGCTGTGGTGGTCGTGCTGACAGGTGGGGAAGTGGCTGGGCCTGGAAGGGAAGAGGGTATCCAAGACAGAGTCACCCCCATGCTCCAGGCCCTGCTGTGGTGTGGGTCCCTGGCATTCTAGCATCTTCCCTAAAGCGGGAGGACATCCTGATCTCCACTGGGTCTGGGAGAGTTCTTCTGGCCTCTCTCTGCCCCCAAGACCACCCGAAAGCATCAAAGGGCAATAAGAATTCACTTGAGTGTACCCTGAGCTGGGAGAGAGCAACCCCAGAGCGCAGGCCAGGAAGAGGCTGTCAGAACACAGCCACCTTGTGTCCGCATTCCGCTCTCACTCCAGTCCCTGGGACCTGGCTGCGTCCCTGTGGAGGCCTCTGATCCCCATTTTGCCAATGAGGCTGGATTAGATCGGCCTCCCTAGAGCCGGCGGAGGTCAGCTGATAGAGAAGATGAGACTGCACAGGGACCCCCAACTCCTACGGGTACTGGCAGCTTTACCGACACCCGGCTTCCACCCAAGATTTTGGTTGGTAAGGGTTCCAGGGCTAAAAGTGCACAGGCCCCTCGGACAGGCAGGGCCCTGGGTACAGATGCTGCGAGAAGTAAACAAGCCCCCCGCCCCCATGCTTCCGTTTCTTCATCTTCTGGAAAAAGGCAGGAACGACCCCGGCTGCATAAAGTGACAACGGACCGAGAGGCATAGACCAGCGTCTATCCTGTGCTACCTGACTGACCTCCCAGCTCTCAGCACTCGGTACCCGGCCCCACACAACCAAGGAGGCAGAGCCAAGGGCAGCCACGCCTACCGGCACTGGGGTCTGGCGGCCCGAACTCCAGGCTGTAGCGCACCACAAAGTAGTTGTTCCAGACGTAGAGCTGGTTGTCGCGAGGGTTGTAGTCCACGGAGGACACGAACTGGTAGGGGTTGGGGAAGGCTAGGCTCACGGGCTCCTCACGGTTGGCATTGGTGTTGAAGGCATAGTCCACGCGGTTGCCGGCCGCCTCGCTGTCGTCGTCCACGTACACGGAGCGCAGCACGTACAGAACTCCGCATACCATGAAGGCATTGGACGCTGAGCGCTTGTCGTAGCCGGTCTCCCATGTGCCCTCAAAGCGCAGCGTGTAGGGGTTGAGCTGGCTCACCACCAGGCGCCCGTTGTTGCCCTCGGTGGCGTAGATGACCCACAGCCCGTTCTCGTCCACGGCCAGGTCGATGTCGGTCTTGCCCCCCCAGCGGTAGGGTGAGGTGTCGTGGTAGTTGGCCGTGTTGATGACCGTCTCCCCGCTCTTGATGCGTGTGCGCAGGTCGTACTTGACGATGTTGCGCGTGCGCTCCTTGTTGTAGAAGACGGCGCCGTCGTAGACCACGAAGCCTGTGCCGTCCACGCGGTTGGGCAGGCGGTAGGTGGTGGTGTGACGCGCAGCCACGTAATCCTCCCACGAGGCGTACTCGGTCAGCGTGTCCGTGCGGTAGGGGATCCAGGGCATGACGTAGATACGGTCGCCAGCCTGCAGTGGGTCCTTGCACCAGGCGCCAGACTGGTGTTCTGACTCATGCGTGGAGGTGGGCTCCAACACCTTCTGCAGGGTCCCTGGGCACACGAAGACTGGGCCGGGCGGGTGGGAGGGCAGGGAAGACATGGGGAGAGGAGGAGCGGAGGCGAGGGAGGGGGAGAGAGAGAGGCAAGTTGGTCACGCAGCCTGGGGTAGCCAGGCTGTCCCCTCCTGCTGCTGCAGTCACGGTTGCTTGGTAGGGCTGGTGATGGGAAGGGGGTTTCCGGGCTGGGACCCCTGCCCTGCCCAGCTGCCCCTCTCCCTGGAGAGGTCAACCCTGGAGGCCATTAAGAGCAGGGTTAGTGTGTGGGGTGGTGGTGCCCCTCTCCTTCCCTGGCTGCTAGAGACCCCACAGGCTGGGGATAAAGGGTTTGGCAAGAGCCCTCCCAGACTCTTCCTCATGTGCCTTAAGTGGGGGCAGAAAGATCGCCTCACTGCAGCCACTGGTGGCTTTGAGGTTCCAGGGACTCCATGCCCTGCTCCTTTGCCATTGTCACAGGCCCCTATGGAAGAGCTAGGGGTCGAGGGTCCCATCCTTCACCAACCACACCAGGACAGATTTTTTTTTTTTTTTAATTCTTTCTCCCCTCTCCCTCCAACCCCCGCCCCCCCCCTCGGCAAAAATTGCAAGGTAGAGTGATGTTTTCGTACCCACAGTGGGTGTCAGGAGTGCCCCCCCATTCCAGGGTGGAGGAGGCACCCAAGGTCCCCAATGCAGCCTGTGCCCCACCCCCACACCCAGTACCCACGGAATCAGGAGGTGAGGAAGGGTTTTTGGAAGAGTGCGGCCCCTCCCTGATGGTGCCCAGCCCTGCCCCCAGCCGGCAAGGTCTCTCACGGGGTCTGTTCAGCAGCAGACACTGACACTGGTGCACAGGGGTGCGGGGAGTTGGGGGACATGGGAAGGAGGGGGCTCCCCGGGAGAGTTGGGGAGGGGAAAGGAGAGCTGCGTGGAGGGAAGAGAGACAAGGTTGGGGGGGCCTCGGCGAGGTCCTGGCTCCAAGGCACCACTGGAGCACGCTGGAGACCACCTGGGAAGAAAGGGTTAGTGCTGGCGAGGAGAGAGGGGTGAGCAGAGAATTCACTCCGAGGCCCAGGCCCGACCGAGGGTCCCTCGGGGGGGGGGGGGCAGTCCCAGGTCCAGCTCAGAGGGGGCAAGGGAGGGAACCAGGAGCTAGGATAAAGACCCAGCCCGCCCCAGCCAGGCCCCCCGCCTCCCCTGCCCCGGACCCCGATTTACCTGCGACCATCCCCGGCTCGGGAGGAGGGACCAAGGCACCGCTGATGTCAGAAAGGTGGGGGGCCCCGCCCCACCCCCCCATTCCCTGAAAAGGAGGAAAACCTCAACTGCATCTCGTTGGCCGCCGCTGGCCTGCCCGCCCTTGCCCCGTCACGCCCCGGTGCCACCTACTCCTAAGCCTCCCCTCACCGACCTAGCAGGAGTCTGGACTCGGGAGTGGGGGTGTCCAGACGCCCCTCCCTCCAGGATGGCTGGGCCTCCCTCTCATCTCCCTGCTGGCTGAACCCACACACAGGCCAGGGTGAGGGTTTGCAGTGAATTCTCTGCTCCTGCTTGGCCTGTCACCAAAGCAGCTGGCTCCAGGGGGAACAGGGAGGGCTGGGACCTGGTGTGGGCATGGGGGGCAGCCCCAGTGGCAAGAGGGTCTTGGACAGGCACCACTCCTCACTCCCCCACGGTCCAGCCTCACTTTCTGCCAGGCTTCCGTGGGGGGTGGGGTTGGGGGGATAGCCAGCCCTCCCTTCACAGCATCAGGGACAGCTGGGCCCAGGGGTCCCCGGGCACAAAGCAGCCAGGAGCACACCGTTTTAGGAGGGGGGGGGAGCCTGGGACACAGAAGCGAGCAGGAACCACAGGGGTCCTGGCTCTCGTCCAAGGGCTCCATCATCTCCTGGTCCCCAGCGCCCTGAGGGGTTGGCCGGCACCCTGTGTCCAGCACACCTGGCTTCCACCTTTTCCCTCTGTGCCCAGGTCTCCCCTCTCCCCAGGCCAGGACCCCTGCCGGCTCTGCGGCCCCTGAGCAGATGTGACTGTGTGTGTGAGGGGGCGCTGGGAGGCCTCAGAGCCTGACCTGGTCAGAAGGGCGTGGAGGAGGAAAACGTGGTTAGAGGTTACCCTGGGGAAGGGGGAGAAGATGAGGAAGGGTCTGCCTGGGGCCTCTGACGGCAAGGACCCCTCCCCAGCACCAAGCTCCCAACACCTCCTCTTCCCTCCGCCCTCCCCCCCCCCCCAAGAGAAAAGATCCAGGGCCGCAGGATCCAAACCACCACCGGGCCTGTAAGAAGAGTGTCTGGTGCTGGGTGTGAGAGACTCTGGGAGGGAGAGAGGGGCGGGGCAGCGAGGGGCGGGGCCTGGGCTGACCGCCCAGGCCTCTCTGAAATGGGGGAGGGCAGGGGGAGGGCAGCAGCTCGGAGGGACCCCGCCCCACCTTCTCCAAGGGATGCTCCACAGACCACCGTAATTTCAAGGCAAAAAGCGACCCTGAAAGGATGGCAAGCCCGTGGCCGACCTCAAAGCTATCAATCTCCCCTACAGTTCAGGGGAGCACTGGACCACGTCCAACATCCCACCCGCCCTCAAAGCTCTTCGGCTGCAGGGCCCTCTGCCTTCAAATGCCAGAGAGCTGCACCCCACCATGGAGTTTCCCCCTTCCCCTGCTGAAGGTCAGCCCTGCAAGAAATTACGGTGCTCACGGAAGTCCCCAGACCAGGCCTGTACATCTCCCAACCCGCCCTCTCCCTGGTCCTCTAACCAAAACAGCCCAGAAGAAACCCTGACTGCAGCTTCGCAAGTGTTTCAGAACCAGAGAAAACGTTCCCCCACCCCGCGCTCCCCCCACAGTGAGGCCCGCCCCCACCCCTCCCCCCCCCAATTTGGCAGACTGCCCTCCCAGGGCTGGGGACAGCTTACACCCCTCCCCCAGGGCTGGGCCCCGGGCTGGTCAAGGATGGGGGTTGGGGGTGGGGGAAACTGGTGCTCCGTGCTCCAAAACAGCTCTGGGCCTTGGAAACGCCAAACCAGAAGGAATTTATGCCACCAGGAGCCAGAGAGATAGAAAGAATCTGCTCCCCAAAAGGAAAACAAAGGTGTGTCCCCCCATCCCGCCTCCCCTGAGCCAGACACGTGCTACAAAAGTTGGGGCAGGAGGAGAAGGAGAAAGAGGGCTCACCCTCGCCCGGTGCACTCTGCCCCCAGCTGGGAGCCCGAGCAGGGGGTCCCTCCCTCCCCTCCCGCCCTGGATGCTTACACACTTCTCCTGAAGGAGGCAAAATAAGTATGAGAGAAGGCCAGGTCCCCCCTGCAAGGGCTGGGACGAGGGAGGAGGGACAGGGAGAAACAGAAAGAAAAAGAGGCAGAAAGAGAGAGAGAGAGAGAGACGGAAGGTCCTGCCCGTGCTCAGAGAGGAGCTTCCTCGGGTGTCTGGACGGTGGAGTCGCCCGTGGCGGCACCAGGGCTGGCCCCGCCGGGAGGACCCCCGGGATGGGGGACACCGACTGGACCAAGTTGGGGCGGGGAGAAGAAGGGGCTGAGAGGGAGGGCGGGTCACATAAGTATGGTACAGGTAAGAACAAAGTGTGAGTTAGGGGTTAGCATTGGTAACAGTGCGTTTACCTTTCTGCTCCACTTCTACTTTAAGCATCGGAAGAGAGAGAGAAAACAAATTGAAAAAAAATGTGCAAGAAAAAAAAAGAGAAAAAAAAAGATTAAATTGCTTTCGTTTCTTATCTGGCAACATGCCCCCTTTTCCTTTCTTTCCTCATCCTGGTTCCCCAACCCCGAAACGTAGCATCAGCTCAGCCCCCACCCCCAAGTCCCTTCCTCTGGGGAGGGTGTCAGGGGGAGACAGTCACAGGGAGGGGGAGACACGCGAGGACAGAGACCAAGAGAGACACGGGGTAAGGGGGGTGTACAAACAGGCAGGTGGACAGAGCCCTCAGACAGGTGGGAGCACCCTCAGTGCGCTGGGGGCTGGGGAGGGGGTAGCTCAGCTGGAAGGTAGGCTCTGGGTAGGGGAGCACCAGGGGCGAGGGGGTGGAAGAGCCACACGGATCCCCTCACACCCCACCTGCTGCCCTCCATGAGGACCAGGGGCCCACGGGGAGAGGGGGTTCAGTGCCTCCAGGGGCCTGGGCGCCCCCAGCTGAGAGCATGCTGAGCTCCTTCCCTTTCTGTGCTGGCTGCGCCAGAGTCCGGCTGAGCTCCCCCAAGCCCTCGCGACCCAGAAGAAGCCAACACAGAGAGAGAGGGCGGCAGAGTGGGACACAGAATGACGGAGAGGCACACAGGCGGAGCCCCTGGGCCTCAGAGAGCCGGGCGGGGGAGACAGAGGCAGAGAAGGGAGAGGCTGGGGGTGGGGGGGACATCACAGACAGCAGGTGGGGGCACAGACAAGCTCCCCCGCTCCCCCGGGGCAAGCCTGTGGCTCCGATTGTCTGCCCAGCCCCGCCCCCCCAGGGGCCCGGGAGCCAGGAGCTCCCTGTCTGCTGCCCAGTGGGCGGGCGCACCTAGGGGAGGAAGGGGGCACGGTTAGAATGTGCTCAGCTGCAAGGCAAATCCAGCGTTAGTCGGGCCTGTCTGGATGTGTGTGTGTATGTGTGTGTGCGCGCGTGGAGGGGAGTCCCACACACCCACCGTCCCCTCCCCACGGTGGGCCCCTGCACCCACCCCCGACTCACCCGCACCAGCACTGGGGTCACCCCAGCCCCTGAAGCCCAGGGCAAGATGGCTGCCCAGGCGGCTCCCCTCGGGGACTTCCGGCCAGGGCCTCGCTCTCCTGCTACCTCTCTAGAGGCACAGCAGGGAGTCCTGCAGGGGAGTGATTGGCTTCCTTCCCAGCGCCTCACCCAGAGCCTGGCACACAGGAAGTGCTCAGCAGGACAGGCGCCGCTGTCTTGTTCTCGGGCCTAGCTTCCCTCACCCTGCCAACTCCAGTCCCCCTTCTTCTGGGACCAGGAGCTACACCCCCACACCCCTGGGTTCTGCCTGTCGAGGGCACACACAGCCCCACTGTGTCCCAGACACGTGCACTGGGCATCTGGCCTCCCCCGGGGCTCAGGCTAGCCCTCTCCCCCAGACTGGAGCTGCCCATCCCAGGGGCCATCCCAGTCTCTGTGGGTCGTGCCCCCCGGGCCACCCTTGTGGGGGGCGGTTAGCTTCAGGAGGTCCCTAGGCCTCTTTCCTTCCTACACCCCGTAACTTTTTTCCTGCTTCTTGACCCATGTGGCTTCCACTTGGATCAGGGGATTTTTTTCCTGCCCTTTACCTCACCTGACTCAGGAGGAGTTGTGTTCATTAGTTGTTAGTTCTACTTTTGATTACCAACAGCCATGGTATTAACTGGTAAAAATCACTACGAGGAGTCACAGCAAAAAGCGATGACTACCAAGGACCTGGCGTTTACTAAGTGACTAAGTGCCAGGAGCTAGGCTCGATACTTCCCAGGTAGTCTTTCAAGAGCCCTGTCTGTAGATGGAGAGACTGAGGCTCAGTGACGTGAAACCACACAACAGAGACCACTAAGCAGCTGGCAAAAGCGGGCGCCGTTTCCTGGACACCTGTGGCGTGGGGCGCACGAGGGCCAGCCCATGTTCTCTCTACTGCTGGCTGCGTCCCTGGGAAGGGGCCCCCACCCGCCATCACGGATGAAGATACAGGCTAAGCTGGCTTGGAAGGGCACCCGTACCCTTGCTGAGCACATCCTGAACCAGGCTCGGCTCTGGGCGCTGGGGGGTGAAGTCGAAGCCTCTGCCCTGGGGGAGGTCACGGCAGCACCTGCCACAGGGAGCCAGCTCTGTGGCCAGCCTCGGGCCAGGCGCTTCGCGCGCGCGGTCTCCTGGACTCTCGCCTCCTTTTGCAGCAGCTCAGAGAGGTTAAGTCATTTGCTCAAGTTTCAGAGTCGTAAAACCCAAGAACCAGGCCGAGCCTCAAAACCAGCGTGATCTCCCTGCTGCGCAGGGCTCCCAGCCTCCCGCCTTCCTTCCCCGCCGCCCCAGCCACGGGGGGGGGGGGGGGGGGGGCAGTGTCCCCAGTGCTGTGGGGAGGCTTCCAAGATCAGACAGGCGTCCCCCTCAGGTGGCGGCTGGAGGCCTCCATTGCTGAAAGGAAAGGGTGAGGAGTAAAAGAAGGTTATGGAAGCACCGAGGCGATCCGGTTTCCCCCAGCACGTACGTCATCACCTGCGAGGAGAAATCAAAGATCGAGGGGGGACGGCTGGGGTGGGAGGGCAGAGGCGGGGGAGTCACCGGGCCTCCTGCTCCCCTGCCCCTGCCCCCCACTCTCACTCTGGTGGCCCTGCCTCCTCCCCCATCTGCCCAGAGGCCCTACCTCCAGGTTGGCTACATGAAGCTGGCAGGGAGAGGAGGGGGATGGATGATGGGGAGAAGGGAAGGGAGAGCGAGGGCAGGAGAGAAGGGCCATGTTAAGAGCTGAGTGCCGAGGAGGAGAGACCCTGTCTTTGTTTGCTCCCTTCGGCCAGATGCAAGAAAGCCAGGCCCCTGGCTCCCCAGATCACCCTCCTCAGGCTTCCTGGGGGCCTCCCTATTCCAACATGGCAGCACTTCCCTTGCAGACCGGAAGCGCTACCGTGGTAATGGGCAAACTAATCAAGAGATAGGTATCTGAGGAAGATGCCCCTGGTCCTTCAAACCAGGTCTGCCGCCAGGCCTCAGGTGGTGGTCCGCCTCTCTGGGGGTCTGGAGTCTGGCTTCCAGGGCTGGGAAGGGGCAGGACTAGGGGCATGTGAGAGGTGAGGGCGCAAGGAAGAGAGGGAGTTGAGAGAGGAAGCGCAGGGCGTGAGGGGGAAGAGCGGGCATGTAAGGGGAGGTCGGGAAGGGAAGGCACGTGAGAGGAGGAAGGAGGCAGAGAGGCCGGAGGGCAGCAGGGGCCCAGGGAAAAGCAGATGGGTGAGTGCACCGACCAGGGTCCTGGCCTCGAAGCGTGCAAATGAGCGAGGGTAACGTGAAGGAGCAGGGCTAGCGGGTGGAGCCACAAGAGTTGGCGAAGGCACCCTGGCGATGGGGACGAAGCTGGAGGGGCTGGGGGTGGGGCAGGCACTGCAAGCGGACAGTGGGGCCAGGGGAACAAAACGTGTGAGGGAGGGAGCAGGCCTGGCTGTCCCCCACGTGGCTGGTCCCGACTTGGCCGTGTGTGTACGTGTGTCTGTGTGTGTGTGAGTGCGTAAGTCAAGGTGTCTCCTCCTCGCTTGCTTCTGGGAGGGGGAAGGGCCCGTGTCCGCGCGAGGAACAAGATGACTCACTGTAGGGGACACAGTCGTACTGCACCTCCAGGTACTTGTAAGTTCCAGGGCAGGGGTCGGGAAAGGCGTCCGAGCCGGCAACCACCACGCACTGGGTACGGTTGTTACACCTGAGGGAAGAGACAGGGAGCTGGGAAAACACAGGCCTGGAACCCGGGCGGGGGGGGGGGGGGGGCATCTAGGGCCAGGAGAGCATCGAGCACCCCCAAACCGAGAAGGAACTGTGGCGACCGGGGCCAGCGGCCTCGTGTGGGTATCACGTCCTGCTTCCTGCCCGCACTCTTCCCCACCACACAGGGTTCTTCTGCTCTCAGCCTCCGGGCTGGGCCAGAGCTGCGCCCCGTGAACCGCCTCCCCTGCTGCCCTTCACCACCTGCACCCCATCGGGGCGTCACTCCTGCCATCCCGTCCTGGGCGTCTTTCCTGAACTGACCGTACGACGTGAGGCCACACGTACGAGTACAAGGTGGGGTCTCTGCAGACTTGCTGCTAACAAGATGCCCGCAGGGCCCGTGTCCACCTGAGGCCACGCCTCAGACGTGTACGCGTCTCACCCTTTGGGCAGCGCTGCCGTGACCATCCGCAGTGGGACACAGGCAGGCCCCTCGCCTCACGCGGAAGCCATTCTCAGTGCCCCAAGGGTCCCCACCAATGGCCAGGAGCCTGGCCAGCACGTAGACGGACTACCTAACCACACGCTGACGCTTCTCCTCTGCTGTGTCTCCAGCCAAGGTCTCTGTCCCTGCAGCCGTCCAGGGCTCGGCATTAACTGACGAGGATCTGCTCGACCCCACCCACCGCATCCCCTTGTTTAAAACACAGAGCACCGGGGCGCCTGGGGGGCTCAGTCCGTTGAGCATCTGACTTCAGGTCATGATCTCACAGTTCGTGAGTTCGAGCCCCACATGGGGCTCTGTGCTGACAAGCCCAGAGCCTGTTCAGACTGTTTTCCTCTCTCTCTACCCCTCCCCAGTGTGTGCTCTCTCTGTCTCTCAAAAATAAACAAACATTAAAAAAAATTTTTTAAACACAGAGCATTGGCCTCAGAAGGATCAGGAGAGAGTTACCCAGGACCCAGCGACTGCATCCCCAGCTACGCGCCCCCAAGACCCGGGAGCAGGTGCTCAAACAACTAGTCGTACGCGGATGTTCCCGGCAGCACCACCGACGCAAGAGCCAAGATGTGGGAACAGCCGAATGTCCGCTGACGGATGAGGGTACGAGCGGAAGCAGCCCATCCACACGGTGGGATATGACTCGGCCACAGAAACAGAAAGACTGCTTCATGTGCTACAGCGTGGACGGACCCTGGAAACGTCAAACTGAGCAAGAGAAGTCAGACACCAGAGGCCGTTTTTCACGGTTCTATTCCTGTGAACTGTCCGGAGCAGGCAAATCGCCAGGGGCTGAGAGAGGGGATGGTGGCGGGGGGCCAGTGGTGGTGGGGCAGTGACTGGATGGGGTTGCCCTTCGGGGCAGCGCCGGGGGGGGGGGATGAAAACATTGTGCAGCTAGATAGAGGTGGTGGTCGCACAGCGTGGCGCACGTGTTAAGTAGCACTGAGTTGCTCACTTTAAAATGATGAATGGTGGGACATGTGAATCTCACCTCGCTGTCCAGAAGGGAAAGGGGCAGGGGGCTGCAGGTCCTAGCCTCTCCCCTGCAGCTGGACGTGCCCAGGAGGTGGGAATGGGCCCCAGTGGCCTTCAAAAGGGCTGGGTGCACAGGGGCACCGAGACGCTGGGAGGGGAGTGCTGACGGCCCTCTGGCCTCCGACCTCGCTCAGGCCACCGTACTGGTGCTGTGAGAGCAGCAGAGTGCGCCCTAACCAACACGAAGAGCCTCCAGATTTCACGTGGGCAGAGCAACGGCCTCTCGCTCTCCAGGCCCCAGTAACCACACCGCTCGGCATCCCGCCATTTGGGAGAACCCCCAAACACTGGAACCGGGCCGGGGGGACCATGGAGAGCACCGCGGACCCCGAGGCCAGCGCTGAATGAATGGGGCACAGCCTACGCCAAGGTGGGAAGCTGGGTGAGGGCTGCTCGTGCAGGGGTGTGAGAGAGGGAAGGGGGAGGGAGTGTGTGCTGGAGGGAGAAACGATGGGATGGAGGGAATGAGGTGGCCACCTGACCACGCCCGTCCCTGCCCAAAACTCTCTGGAGGCTCTCGGTGACCCTGACCCATGACTTATTCTAGAATCCTCTCCCAACATTCAAGCAGCCGCACAGCCGGTCCCAGCCCTCCTCCCCTTCTTCGGTTCTGCGCTCTGCATCCTGCAGTGAACGCTGTGCTCTCTCAGGCATTTAGCAAAACCTCAGGGGTGCCTCTGTATCCGGCCAGGGACGGCGGTGACGGACGCAACGCCCTGTCCCCATGGGGCGGATGGCCGGTGAGAGAAGACAACAGGAACACGATACAGAGGGGAAATATTCTGTTCTATGGAACTGTGGGTAGAGGTCAGGGCGAGAAGATAAAGCAGGGAAGGGACTGGGAAGTGGGGTGGGGGCTGTGATTTTAGAGCAGGTGGTCCGCAAGGCGCCACTGAGAGGAGAGTTAGGTGAGAAAACCCATGGAGAAGAGATGGGAGGAGCCATGCAGCTGTGAGGGAACAGCATTCCAGGCAGGGGGAACAGCCAGTGCAAAGACCCAGAGGAGGCGGACGACGCCTGATGGAGCAGGCAGGGTGACTAGAGCCGAGTGAGTGAGGAGAAGGTGAGGGCCGGGGGTGGGAGTGGGGGGGGGCGGGGGACAAGGCACAGCGCGCAGGGCCTTGGGGCCTCAGGGAGGACAGGCTTTTGCTCTGAGCCAGGCGGGTGGGTGCCCTCTGGCTGCTGGGGGGTGGGATGGACGGGACAGACTGTCGCGGGCGAGGCGGGGCAGCCCCAGGGGGAGCCGGCCGTGGCGGCAGCGGCTGAGGCCGAGTATGATGTGAAGCAAGAGCCGACCAGCCCTCGGTGGACTTGCAGCAGGTGTGAGAAAGGCGTTTGCAGCTCTGCACACGCAGTGCCTCGGCCTGGCATGGCCCTTGCACTCACACCCAGCCTTGCACGCTCAAGCACTCATTTCCTCTTGCACCCACGTGCCCTTTTGTCATGTGTGTTCAGACTCCACCTCTTCGGGGAAGCCCAAGGGGCCTGTGGGTCCTGCGACACTTCACCCTGTCCTGCTATTGCTCTTACACCACAGGACCTCCACTTCCTCCCCCGCCGGGCTCGGAACGGGCTTCCGGAGGCTGGGAAGACGGGCCGAGTCCGACCGGCTGTTTGCGCAGCACCGGGCACTGAGCAGGTGCTCAGGAGACATGAGTGGAATGCGCGGAAGGAAGACTGAAGCCGTGGGCCAGGCGCATGGACGGGGTGGGGGGGCGTTTGTCCAGGGACCGCCCCCACCTCTCCCTCCCAGGAGCCCCGGGCCCCCTCACCTCTGTGACATGATCTTGAAGGCGTCGGGCAGGTAGCACTGCACGTTCTCCATCTGGAAGGGGTCAGCGTCGCAGATCTTGTCATCTGTGCGCCCGTAGTTGGCGTTCTCCACCATGATGACGTCGCTGCCCGGGCACCGCAGCTCGATGGGGTAGCCTTCGCACGCCAGCTCCCGGCGCATCAGCCCGAATGGGAGCCCGGCCCGGCTCAGGCCTGCAGGGAGGGGAGACCCTGCTGAGGTCGCACCTCCCACCCGGGCGGGATCTAGGACGTGGGCTCCAGGAACCTCAGTTCTTTCCTCCACAAAATGGGCCTCTGAGCATGCCCGCCCGCCCGTAGGAAGGCCTCTGCCCTAAGCTCCTAGAGGAGCCTTCGAGCACATGGGCGTGTCCCGCCCCAGGAGCGTCTGGCCTTGGGCCAGGTGGGACGGTCTGCCCCAACCATTTCAGGTTGAGCTGAGTCCTCCCGTCCTAATCCCGCGTCCCTCAGAATGTGACCAAACTTGACACAGAGGTGATCAAGTTAAAATGAGCCCGCTGAGGTAGGCCCTGCTCCAGTATGACCGGGGTCCTTATGAAAAGGGGAAATTTGGACCCAGAGACACGCACGGAGGGAGGGCAGTGTGGAGACACGGAGAAGACGGGCCACCGTGAGCCCAGGAGAGAACAGCTCCTTCCCTTGCGGCCCTTGGAAGGAGCCAACCCTGCTGACAACTTGATCTTGAACTTGGAGTCTATAGAAACCGTCAGACAATGAAATTCTGCTGTTTTAAGCCACCTGGTCTGTGATGCTTTGTTAGGGCAGGCCTAGCAGATGAGCACACTCACAGTGTGATGCGGGGAGGGTATCTGTGGACTCCGGAAGGGCTGGGGACTGAGGCCAGCCCTGTGGGCGGTCCCCCACGTCTACATGCCTGAGCCCCAGTAATGGCCCTGGACAGCGAGGCTCGCGGGCGTGTTGCCAGGTCGGCCCTCGCATGTTGTCTCACAGCACGTGTGACCACGGCGTAGGGAGGGGACAGGCCAGGAGCCCGCCGCTCAGAGCCTTCCCGGATGCTGCCCCACGCACTGATTCTCCTGGCTGATTTTCTCTGTATCCCTTTGCCGTAAGAAGCTGTAACCATGAGCACAACGGCGTTCTAGAACGCTCCTAGTGAATCATCACGTGTGAGGGTGGTCTAAGGCACTCACAAACTTGCAGTGGGGAGTCGGAAGTAAGGGAGGTCGTGGGTACTCCCCTAACCTCACACCACCCACACCAGCGGGAGAGATGGCACGGGAGGAATGTTCCGGAAGACGCCACAGAGCCTGGCCTTGCCACTTCTCAGCTGCTGGGCCAGAGCCCCTCTCGGCGTGCCCTGGGGATCTGCAGCACCAACATCATGCGGTGGCTGCCCCCCGCCCCCAGGCCCACTGCATGAGAATCCCAGGGGTGGCCCAGGAGCCTGGACCGGGGCGCCCACGAGCGGTTCCGGTGCGCGCCCGGTTTGGACAGCCACAGCTTTAGCCGCCTCAGGCCTCAGGTTCCGACCTCTAAGATCAGCACTGACAGCTGGGGGCTGTACTCTGAGGACTTGGTGCACTAGAGAAGGTTCCTGAAGGAAGCACGGAGCATGGCGCCCAGTCACGTGACAGGTGAGGTGGCACTTGGCGGGATCACTGAGGCAGCCAGACTCTGCACGACAGAGTGGGCTCCACGGGGTCCACACCTGCCAGGGCGGCCACCTACTCAGGCGCCGCCTCGCTGGGGGTGGGCGGGAAGCGTGCGTGCACGGGGTGGCCCGCGGGCCCAGCGTGGGGACCGCGGCTCGGGGGTAAAGAGCAGAACTGGTGCAGAGGGCGGCAGTGCCAAGCGGACCCCTTTCAGAAACTCAGCCTTCCGCCGTCGGGTGGGCAGCCCGAGGGGGATGGCGGCGAGGCCCCTGGGGTTTTTTGGGGTGAGTTGAGTCTCACTCGGGGGAAAGTATTACATGTGTTCCTCCAGCACCATCTGCTGCCACAGCTAATTTTAGTCCTTCCCAGGCCGGGAGGGAGGCTGGGGGTGGAGGCTGGCTCAGATGGGTCTGGGGGTGGGAGTGGCCCCTCCCGGCCCAGCTGGGGCCGGGGGGCAGGACCCGGATGGGCAGAGACTGTGGGTGTGCCAAGGCCCTGGGGCCCGCCTGAATAATGCCCCCTCCACCTTTGTGGCTTCCTGGAGTACTGGGCTCCATGAGGGGCCACTGGGGAGCACCCGCCAACAGCGCCCTCCAGACGGGGCTGAGGCGGTGCCGGCCGGGGCCAAAGCCCGCAGGCCCCTCCCCTCCTCGTGCCCTGCCCTTCCCCCACCTAGGCCTGCCATGGGGACCATAATTGAGTAATTGGTGAAGGTGGGCGGGCGGGCTTGGGGCACTAATTGTTGCATGTGCAGGATCCTGGGGCCGGCATAGGGCCGAGCCGGGTAATTAGTTGTTTTTAAATAAACGTCAGCGAGCATGCCTTAATTAAGCCTTCTTCCCAGTGAGAGCCTCAGAGATGTAATCACAGAGAAAGCCACGCGCCCAAGACAGAGGAGCACCGGCTCACCAGGAAGGCCTGTCCGGGTCCCAGGAGGCCACAGCCCGCGTCCCAGGCTCCGGGACCCCTGGCTGCCCTGGGCTGGGGGCGAGGGGCCGGCCCGGGGAGCCCTCAGTGGTGCTAGGTTGGGGGGGGCAATTAATTACCAAGTCTTCCTCTGGCTTCGTTCCAGACCTCTTCCTCGCTCCAGACCTCGGCGGGGCCGGCCGTCCTTTAGCGAGCTCTCGGGGAGACGCCGCACCCCGTCCTGTGCCCGCCCAGCTGCGCTCTGGAGGCGGGGCCCCTCCCCAGCCCCAGCGGCACCTACCTTGGGTGGCTGAGGTGACCAGGACGGCGGTGATGCAGAGACTCCAGAGCACTGCGGCCAGGCGGGCCATGGCGGCGGCCGGCGGCGGGTCCGGGTTGCTCAGTGTCCTGTGCAGGGGGCCTTGCCCCGCATCAGCAGGTGGGCAGCACAGCCCGGCCCACCGGCCTGGGGAGAACAGGGAGAGTGAGGCGGCGGGTGGGGGGGCAAGGCCCCAGGAGCCACAGGAGGAGGTGCGTTTGGGCCGGTCCCCTCTCCTCCTGCTGGTGGCCGATGGCTTCCACCTCAGTCCCGAGAGGGGCCGCTCAAGGGACCTCCCTCGAGCCAGCTGTATGTGGCTGAAGCCGCACCCTCGGGCCAGAGGCCGACGGGCCCCCCAGCACCTCCGGCTGACACTGCTAACCACCGCCCACCCCACCCCACCCCCGGCAGCCAGACCCACCCCTGAACCAAAGGGAACCTCCTAGACAAGCCTCCCGTGGTCTGACAATGCCCGTCAGGTAGCAGAGGCGGCTCATGGGGATGTCACGGCTGCGAAGGGCCCACCTGTACCAGGCAGGCCTCAGGCCCTCTATCATGGGGGATAAAGACCTTCCAGAAGTTTCTTCACCATCCCCAAGTCCCAACCCTGCCCACTTGTCTCCCCCACCTAGCTTCCTCACCCAGCACTGCATGGGGGCGGGGGCCGGGTACCCAGGCATCCTGGCCTTGACCTGCTCCTCCCAGTCTTGGGCAGGAAGCCAGGCCCTGCCCCCCAGTCCTTGCTTCCTGTCGCTCCCCCTCTGGTAGCTAATTAGAATCCAGCTGGCTGGCGCCACAGATCGGGGACCAGGGACAACTGAGTCCCCTCTTTCCCCTCTGGGGGACCCTCGAGGTAAGCTGGAGACAGGCGTGGGGGGGTAAGGGAGGGATGTGCAGCTCCCTGGGGAGCCGGGGGGGGCTGGCATTGTGTGCCCTCCCCTCGCAATCCCTCCACCCATCTGCCCATCCCTGGGGACAGGGCTTGGTTCTGACCCGTTTCGTCCCCTCTCAGCCGATCCTCCCGCCTGGCCGCCTCAGTCTCCCCTGGATGCCCTCAGACTTGCAAACCCAGGTCTGCTCTGGGCCAGCTGTTCTATCTACACCATGGTTCTCAAGGGTGGCCCTGGCCCAGGGGCGCCAGCCTGGCCAGAAACTTCTAGAAACACACATTCCCAGGCGAGGGCCAGCACCCCGTGTTTTAACTGGCTTTCCAGTGTGTGAACACCCACTCGGTCTTCTCCCACACTGTCATCCCCGACCTGTCCCACACTTTCAATGCCATCAACCAACTGATACCTTCTATAGCTCTCATTTTCAGTTTGGAATCTCTCAATAGAGCCTCAGAGCCCCAACTACTGTTTCTCCCCTCACTAGATGGAAGCCTATCCACCAGCCCAGTTAGCTCCCTGACCCCATTTTTGCTCAGGCTACTCCTGCCTCCTGCTATTCCCTGACCACACCAAGCCCTGCCCCAGGGCCTTTGCACTTGTCTGTTCCTCCACTTGTCCCCAAGGCCGCTCCCTCTCACCTCTTTTAGGCTTTCATTCAAATGTCACTATTTACTGACACGGGATCCTGGGTTGTTTTGCTCAGCCCTAGCCCCAGCTTCTAGAACAGTCCCCGCACACAGCAATGAGCATTTGCTGCATCTCAGACCCCAAACTTAGGAATCCACCTCGATTCCCCACCCCTCCCCAGCTCTCCCCTTCATTAAGTTACATCAGCAAGTCCTGAGAACGCTGCTGCCTCCAAAGCACCTCACCAACCTGCCCGCTTGTGTTCCCCACCCCCACCCCGTGCCACCGTCCGGGACCGAGCCACCATCCTGCTACACTTGGACGCTTGTCTCGGCCTCCCTGCCTGCCCTCCACTCAGTGCTAAGGGATCACTGAATGACAGAGATCTGAGTGTCTCTACTGCTCTCCACTGGGGTCTAGAAGCCACAGGTAATCCGGCGCCACCCTCCTGTGCAAGCCGCCCCCTGCAGTTCCTAGAAGGTTCTAGCTTCCTCCCCCTACCCTCCCCCCATGCCTGGAATGCTCTCCTCGGGTCCCCATACACTTGCTGTGGCTCCTCCCCGTTCAGAGCTCAACTCCAGGGCCATGGCGGCAGAGCAGCCTAGCCCGACCTCCCCAAACGTTCCTGCTGCCCCCGCTTGGCATCCTTTTCCCCTGTTTTTGACTTAGAGCTTTCCACCACCCCCCAAATTCCCTCTTCACATTGGCAGGTCTGGTGCCAAGCCTCCCCACTAGACCAGGGGCTGCCTGAGGGCAGGGACTTCACAGGTTCTCAAGAATTCCAAAGATCTGAGCGGCACACTCATGGGCGGGACAGCCCCCCACCCCCCAAGGCCTCAGTGTCCTCTGTGAAATGGGAAGAAACTTCACAGCGCAGCAGCCCTGAGTCCCTGCGTCCCTCCCCCTCCCCCAGCCTCCGGAAGTCCCGCCTCCACTGCCTCACCCCACCACCCTGACCAGACAGGGCCTGCACTCTGGGTTCTTTTCACAGCATTTTACTTACTAAAGTTTGCTTATTTACTTTGAGAGAGGGAGGGAGAGAGAGAATCCCACGCTGCCAGCGCAGAGCCCGACACAACACGGGGCTCGAGCCCATCAACGGTGAGATCACCACCTGAGCAAAGGTTGGAGTCGGATGGTAACTGACAGCCACCCAAGCGCCCATCACAGCATTTAAAAACATTTTTTTAAATGTTTATTTTTGAGAGAGAGAGAATGTGCAGGGGAGGGGCAGAGAGAGAGGGAGAAAAAATCTAAAGCAGGCTCCAGGCTCTGAGATGTCAGCACAGAGCCAGACGCAGGGCTTGAACTCATGAACCGGGAGATCATGACCTGAGCTAAAATCGAACGCTCAACAACCGACTGAGCCCCCCAGCGCCCCCCACAGCATTTTATGTTACATCATGGGCGGTAGGGGCTTCCTCATTCCACCCTCCCCCCACCTCCTAGCCACTGTCAGGCTCAGGAGAAACTGAGCCCTGACTAACGGACACTCCCCTCCCTGGCTCTCCCTGAGGGACGGAACCTAGTAAGCGGCTGCTGCATGCCAGGCCCCGGGGGCAGCCACCCCACCAAGGTCTGGGTCCAGCTCTCCACTTGCCACTGGTGTGAACTCGAGCCCGCTCTCCCCTCCCCCACCCCAGTTCCGCCTGAGGGCTTCTGGCCAGGACAACCGTCTACACATGGGGCAGGCGGGCCTGGGACCCATCAAAGGGCTCTGTCCACAGCACAGCAGAGTCAGGACACAGGGGACACGCATCTGAGAGAGGTGGCTTCCTGTCCCCGCCCCCAGGGCTGCACCCAGGACCCAGGCGCTGGAACCCCAGGTGGGGTCCCCAGGCCTCCCCCACCCGCACTCCTTCTCGGGGGACCTAACTAGCCTCACGGCTTAGACACTCTACACTGTGGTGCCTGCCACACCGGAGCGCCAGCCTTGCTTGTCTCCTCCCCGTCTACACCTGCCTCGGGCCCCAAGGCATCTTCAGCCTGACCAGACCCAAACAACCCGCCCCCATAATAGTCCACGGTCCCCTCAACCCCCAGCTCCCCGGGCTGAAACCCAGGGACTCAAAACCTTCTCTGTCTTCGCCCCGACGTCCAGTTCAGGAGCAAGTCCTGGGTCTGTGCGTCCAGGACGCCCCGGCGGCCACCCTCCGCACAGCCCCGACCTCCGACCCCTCTGGCTCCCACGCTCCGGGGTTGGGGGGGCTTTAAAAAATTATCGTGTAATAGACACATTACATAAAATGTGTCATTTTAGCCGTTTTTACAATTCAGTGGCATTAACTACATTCTCAGCGCTGTGCCGCCGCCGCAGTCTATTTCCAAAACTGCTGTCACCCAGAACCCTGCCCCGGCCCCTGGCAACAACCAGTCTACCTTCGGCCTCTACAACTGTGACTCCTGTGGGGACCTCGTCAGGCAGAACCGCACGGTGTGTGTCCCCTGGCAGCGGCTGCGTCTCACTCCGCACGGCACCCCCTCAGCTCACCCACACGGAACCCTGGGCCTCTTCGTGGCTGAGTAATATTCCGTTACGAACATGGACCACGTCTTGTTTGGGGACGCTCCGGCTGTGTCCAGAGACGGGTCCCTTTTTTAAAAACTGTTTATTGGTTTTTGAGAGACAGAGAGAGAGAGAGACAGAGAGAGAGAGAGAGACAGAGACAGAGCAGGGGCGGGGCAGAGACAGGGAGACACAGAACCCGAAGCAGGCTCCAGGCTCTGAGCTGTCAGCACAGAGTCCAACGCGGGGCTCGAACCCACAAACTGTGAGATCATGACCTGAGTCGAACCCCCTGAGCCCCCCAGGCGCCCCCAGGGAGGGGTCCTCTTCCTTTTAGAGACGTCTTGACAGGTCACTCCTGCTGGAGCCCCGCGGTGGTTCCTGCGCACCGTCCCCGAGACGACACAGATCCCACCAGGTGTCCCCAGCTCTGTGTCCCTCAGGTCGCAGCCCAGACGTGCCCTCCTCAGAGACGCAGGCGGGCCTCTCCCATCCCGTTCTGTGCTGCCGTCGGTGCCTGCCTGCCCGAGCCCCCCCCACCCCGTAAGCTCCTCTTGGGGGACATGGGGTTACCGCCCAGGGCAGCTGCGTGGACAGGAGGAACTCACGCACGTGAAACACTCGGGGCCGTGGCTGGCACGTGACGGCAGAGGGTCCCGGCAGCAGCTGTCACCGCCTCGTGACTTCACCTGTCCGCTCGCAGATTTCCTTGACGCACCTGGAAACCGCAAGCTCCCCGGCCACCCCCTCCGGCGCACAGATACACAGCAAGTCTTCGCACAGATATTCACCGAATGGATGCCAGGGGACAGCGATGGGGGCTCGGGACCCGGGGGCCCAGGCGCCATTGCCGCAGGGGTGCAGAGAGCACTCCCTTCAGGCTGCCCACCACTTCCTGAAGGCCACTCCCCAGAAAGCCCCAGGCACTCCCAGAAGCACCCCAGCTCCAGGCTGGAGGGGGGGCAGCCGGGCACTGTGACTTCTGTTCCCTCCCCTCTCCTCCTGGCCTGGCTGTGTGCCCGCCCGCCCCCGGCAGCTCTGCCGGCCACCTGGCGCCCACCTCAGAGGGGAGGCACGGCCAGAGGTGTGGAGGTGGGCGCCATATCCCAGGAGGCCTGAGCCTG